AAATGGAGTCAAAACAGAATTAAATTTTGCTATTAGTTTACGACAAAGATTTTTATAAAGAATCACTTTACTTGCGAAACACAACTCAATCACAAAAGTACAGTAATTACAAATCAAACACTGTTTTGGAAAAAACATTATTTTAGCATAAAGTGTGTGCGATATAAACGATAACATCATTTCATTTACAATACGTTTAGAGCGAACAAACAAAAAGTAGACGAAGCGTATCGCCGAAGCCGTTGACCACTCGGAAGACCACAACAACACCGGAACCGTCGGCCGAACCCTCGCCAACGGCCAGCGGTAGCGGCGGTCCGTCGTCTTCGCGCCGTCGAAAGGGAAGTATGGCTTTCGTAAACCCCGGAAAGATTGCCAAATTGTTGAGACGGACGCATAGCGCCGGTTGCTCTAAGGATGTGCCCTCTTATGCACTTTTTCTCAGTGAAAAGCCTTCCGTGAGTTTTGTAACTTTTTATATTTTAATATTATTTATTTATTTTATTTAAAGTCTAATAATTAATTAAAGTCTATGATTATCGTTTTGTTTTGTCTAAAGTAATGAAAGCTATTCTAACTATTTAAAATTACTCTTAGTTTTGAGGATTTAGTATAAAATTAATATAGCTATTATTTTTGTGGTATTATAATATATTGGATATAATATTGCATAAAATATTCAAATTTTAATCAATAACTATATTTTTATGCAAAAACAATTTAATATTCTAAATTAATAAGATTATTTTACATTTTAATATAATTTCATATTAAATATCTGCTCGGCAACTATTATCCAGGTACTTATCTCTACTTATTACATGTAAGGTTAATTAGATTCTTATCCAGAATTTCTATTTTAAAGTCAATAATAGAGTATTAAAGAGTCACAAGAATTCTTAACAAAAAGTTTTTAAAGAATTGTTTATTCAAATTATAATCTCATTTAATTTGAAAGCAATTCTAATGATAGAGTTAAGTATGATATTTGGCAGACACTTCATTCAAAATGTATAACATTTGGTGTCTAATTGTGTTTTTGTAGTAGAAATACTCGTACAATAGATGTGTGAATTAGAAAGTTATAATAGTTTTACTATTTATAACAACTTTATTTTAAACTTAATATTCATATCAGAATAAAGTTATGCAATTAATTTAGACATTTAGAAAAGGCTTAATTAATATAATTATTGTTGTAATCTATTATATTATATGATATAAAATAGGTATATATAGCAATAACCATGAGTACCATTAATAAGGCTGTGTTTAATACGATTCTAAGGCATCTATTTATAGACATAACAATAAAAAAAAGTTGTATAAACTTATTGTTCAAACACTCTTATGAATGAGGAAATGGAGCGGAATATCTCTCGTCGATATTTTTAGCTTTCATTCAGTCGTTTTGTGTGTATTTTTGGATCTCATAAAGAGTTGCTTTCAAATTATATATCCAATTCATAAATGCCTTTTCACGCAACGAATTTTTGCCAGAATTACATAATTCTCTAAATGTATGAAAAATAGACTAAAAATAAAAATGTTTTAAAACTATTGTTTTATTAGTTCAGCAATCAATATATCCATCAAAATCCTATAGCAAACCTCTATAAACCTCTATTTATATATAGTTTATATATAATATATGAGATCTAATGCGAGGTCACAGTCATTGAACATAAAACTACTGGTTTTGGTGCACAGAATATTCTATGCATTTCTAAAAATAGACACTTTCACCCAATTCTTTGTTTTATGTGATTATTCTCTACATATAATATATATCTAATTCTTTCGCTTATTTGACGTAAAAATTGAATTTCAATGAAAAAAAGTCTTTTCTACTGACTCTTGTCTTATTCTGTGTTTACTATAATATAAATTTATATTCCGTTTATTGTTTGCAGCGATCGAGCGATGGGAAGGAGCACACGAAAAGAGGTCGGAAACAGGCCCCGTAAGTGATCTATTGCTTTATATCTATCTATTAATACACAACATCCCCCATATGTGCTCTCTATCACACACACCATACCTTT